CTTTATTTTAATATAAAAATAAAAATTATTTCTTATTAAAATTATAAATTTTTATATAAAGAGAAAATTTTAATTTTCACTATGTTTTATTAATAAATTTAGCTCCTGAGTTATTACTTTTGGTTGTTACTATAATAATATATTAATTTAATTAATATTATACTAAATTAATATAACTTAAATTATTATAAAAAAATTTTTATAATTAATAAATTAAATTAGTTAATTAAACTATTAATTATAAAACTTAAAGTTAATAAAAATTAAAAAATTAAATAATATTTTTTATTTATTCTTTTTTATATTCTTTTTTATATTTTATATTTAATTTTAATTTATTTGACTAAAAAAAATTATTTTTTTATATTTTTTATTTATATTTTTATAATTATAATTGCTTATTTAACTAGTAAAAGTAATATAATTTTATTTATTATAAATTTTTTTTCTTTTATTAAAATTATAATTATTATTATTAATAATTTCTTATTTATCTTTTTTAATTCAATTCTCTTAAATAAATATAATCATTAATAATATTCTTATAATAAATTTAATTAATTAAATATTATTCTTAATTATTAAATTATCTATTTTATTAAGAATAGTAATAATATATTATAATTATAAAAAATTAAAATATTATTAATTAAATTAATTAATTTTTAACTATATCAATTTCTTATTTTAAATATTTATTTTATTTAGTCTTATTATAATATATCTTATAAAAATATCTTTTAATTATAATATTCTATTATTATAATTAATTTTTTATTTATAAAACTATTATATATCATTATTTTTTTGATAATAAAATTATTTTTTTATTTATAATATTATTTTTATTAATAATAAGATTTCTTTATATATTTTTAAATAAATTATAAACTTATTTATAAGAAAAATTTATTTTTATTTAATAATAATTATAAAAATATATAATTAAATTTCTTTATAATTATATTTTTTTATAATTATTTTTTTTATTATTAATTAATTATAATTAAAAAAATTTCTTTATAATCATATCTCCTATTAATTATATAATTTTACTTTTTTAAATATTATAATTATAAAGGAATTTAATTATATTTAGAAAAAGAAAAATCTTAATAAAAAATTATATACAAGAATCTTAAATTTTTATATATAATTAATCTTTTAAATAATTTAATTTTTTTAGTTTTTGATATTTATACAATATATTATCAAGAAAATAACTAAATAATATATAAAAAAAACTTATTTATATTATTAAAGTAATTTATTTTTTCAATTTAATTATAAATATATTTCTTTAATATTTTTTTAAATAAATATTAATTATTTAATAATAAATATAATTATTAATTATCTTATATTTTTAAGTAATTATTCTATAAAAACTATTTATAATATCATTTAATAATATATAATTAAATTTTTCATAATAAATTAATTACAAAAAGAAAAAATATATTTTATATTTTAAATCAAGAGAATAATATTTTTTATCAATATTTATAAATTTTATAAAGTATTCTTATAAGCTAAAATAATTATATATATTATCTTATAAATATATTATAATTATTTTAGAGATATTTATAAAAATATATAAAGTATATCATCTATATTTTTTAATTATCTTACAAAGATATTATGATTCTTTTAGAGATATTTTTGAAAATAAATAAAATATATCATCTGTATTTTTTAATTAATTCATCTAATAATAATACTAATATAAAGTTATCTTCTTTAGACTATAAGATAACAGATTATTATCTTTTAAGAGACTTTTTTTAGAAAATCATATACAAGTATTTTATATGATTATTTATACTATAATTATACTAATTATATTAATTATTCTGATAATGATATTATTTTTAAATATGAATATGATTTATTTAAACTATCTTCAGAAGAAAATTAAGATCAATATCAAAGTACTCAAAAAATAAGTATGATAAAAGATTTAGATAAAAAAAATTTATAAAAGAGCATACTGAAAGTATTATAGAGAATAAATCAATAATATTAAATGATAAATAATATATTAGAAAATGGAAAAAAAGATTTTTTAAATATTTATATTAAAAAAAATGATATTATCGCGGTGCAAGTTCAAAAAATTATAAAAAAAATGTTTTTATTTGTTAAAAGAGAGAGTTATTTCAGATATTTATCCTAAATGTATTTATTTATTTCTAAAATTGAGAATACGATGGTTTGTTAATCGCGTATAGAAATAAGACGCGTAGTGAACAACAAATTTTATATTCCTTTTTTAAAATTGTATCCCCTCTTTCTATCTTAGGACTATTTGATAAAACTTTTCTTATTACATATAGAAATACTCATAATATAATAAACATGTGATACAGTTATTATTGCGATACGCCGTCTGTGAAAAAGTTTCTATGAAAGATTTATTGTCTTCGGCTTTAGCTTCGGCTTTGGCTTTGGAGTATCATAAGTCTTTCTGTAACAAGTTATCTTTGATAATGAAGTCAGGCGGGCAAATCAAGAAGTATAACTGTACACAATTTTGATGATGTTTATATAGCACACTCATATCCATTTAATAATAATAATATAATCAACCATCACCCATTAATTTAATAATTGAAAATAGTTTAATTAAAAAGGGAAATAAAAATATAGCTTACAAAACTCAAATCTAGAGTTATGAAGCAAGGAAGTCTACTAAAAGCTTTCAATTATATTCCATCAATTCACAAAGTTTGCTTGCCCCGCATCCACGTCTGAATAAAAAAAAATAAAAAATGTCGCTGAATAAAAATGGTACATGCGTGTGTGTGTATATATATAATGTGTACATGTAAAAAGTTCGCTTATCATTACACAAATTTAGATACCCAACAGTTCTCTATTTTTTTTTTTTATCACTTAACATGAGACATCGCTTCCGCCTCTAGTGTTTAAAATCAAACCCACAATCAATCCATAAAGACCCAAAACTTCAGCAAAAATAAGAATCAAAATCTGTTATAATTCGAAAAAAGAACAAAATTAATTAATTAAACAGTGATAACGGGTAATCATATTCTTTCATCGATGATTTTCTTACCATTCCAACAAATAAACGTGGTTGCTGTGCTAATGCACGTACACCCGCATCACCCACCACCCCAATGGCAAACCCAGCAGCCAAACCTGCAAGTCCAACACTTAGACCGGCTCCAAGTTGAATAAATGAACTGATTTGGATAAGAATAGTAAAAATAATTAGATTCATTTATTCTAAAGGAATGTTTAGCATTAAAAAAAGATAAACACATACGTATATAATGGCATTTTTTGTTTCACTATAAAATGAAAGAAATATAAAGATAATAAAAATCGGTAATAATCATCAAAGCATAAGCGAGAAAAAAAATACTTACAACCATCCGAGATAAGAACAGACACCACCAATCCATAAATACCAATAATACCAGCCATAACAATCGGAACAATGGCTTTCATCACTAAATCTGGGCGCAGAACACCCATAGCCGAAAGGCCTACTCCCGCCTTAGCGGTTCCATATGCAGCACCAAAACCTTTTGATGTAAATTAAAACAGAATTATTAGAATTCTTTATATTTTTGAACAGATAAATTTTAAATTTCATGGCAAATTTATCGTATAATAATGATGATAAGAATAATAAGAAAGTGGATATGTATATAGCTTGGTTTTTTTTTGATTTTTACCCAAAAAAAATTTGCGGAATTAAATAATACGGAAGAAGCGGAAGAACTACTCACAGGTAAACACAATAGCAGCGGTACAACCTAAAACACCAAAGATTGGTGCGTAAGCAGGGCTGTTTCAACAAACATTCGATTTAATGAAAAACAATTCAAGTGTAGTTGAAAAAACACGTATCTGCAAAAAGACTGTCACAACTTACCAGAGACTATCTGACATCTTAAATTAAAAAAAGAACAATAAAATTAAGGGGAAAAATTCAGACGTAAAAGAAGAATCGGCTTGATAATGATAAGGAAAAAAATAGATATAATGTAAAAGGGCTGCTATCAAGATGAAAGTTCGGAGATGAATTAATTTCATTGGCGAATTTAAAAAAAATGTGATAAAAGACTTCACGTGTGTAGTCGGGAACCAAAAATTTTCTCATCCTTGAAAATGTCAAGCACTTTAGCAACACAATTACAAAATATTACCGCCGGGAATGCGTTAAAAGGCAGCTTATTGCATTCACAGAAAACCCGGGCATCGTATTTGTTTGATTCAAAGCAGGCGGCCGAATATGATTTGAGCACAATTCATTCAATTGGCGTTTCTGGATTAGAAGAGTTAATGGAAATTGATAAAGTGTTTGTAGACTTTGAAAACACGATCTTTTCCGAGTATATGAAAACTTTTGATCGAGCTCTTCAAGTATGTCAAGTTATGCTTCTGAAAGTTCCTGAACCTTTCCTTTCAAGATAACTAATTTCAAATAGACAAAAGAAGAAAACGAAAAGCTTGATAAGAGCATTGGTCATTTTCTAAGTTGCTTGTCTCCTTATTTTCTAATAAAACCGGCTGGGAAAGCCCTTGAGTGGTTAATTCGTCGGTTTAGGTGGTCACCATATCATTTATATGCTTCTTGTTTTCGCGTTACCTACATCGTAATAATAATAATAATAATAATACTAATAACGGAATTTCGCGTACTTTACAGAATTAACGAATTCAATGTGAACGACATATTAACATGTATATTGCCATACCATGAAACAAATTCTTTTGTGACAATGGTTTCGATTCTACATCTGAAGTATGTAAATAACAATAAACTAATAAAAATCTTCTCGCTCAAAAAAAATTTCGTAATTAATCTTCTTGCTTTTACCAATTAACGATTAACCTCAAGTGATCAATGGACATTTCTTCAACAAATACAACAAAAGCGACAGCCACTTGACCGCGCAAATCTCATAAAAATGTGCATCAAGGATCCCACGATACTCCAATTCATCTGCGAAATCGTGGTGAATTCAAAGCATCCTTTCAAAACCCTCATATCGTTTTACGTGGCAGTTGTCATCCATTATATTCAAAATGTTCCCAAACTTACCGATAATAATTTAACAATTTTGTTGCCATATATTCTGAAAAGCTGCAAGAAAAAACGTTTCGCAGATTTAAAGGTTCTATCCGTTTTCTTCGTTGCAATCTTTCTTTATGAATGAAATTATTAAAGTAATATCATACTGTTTCTTTAGATTGGAACTTTTATGATTATCTCTCAAATTGCAAACAAGGCAGTACTTTCATCTGATACAGTATCAGAACTGATATTACGGATTCTAAAAAGTAATTCTCAAATAGAGTTACATTCACTATTGTGTGTTGTACATATATGTCAAACTCAAGCATCTATTACCCAATTTTCCAAACGAATCATGAAACACTTGCAGAAGCTTCCGTAAGTATTACTTTTTAACATTAATTTGAATGATTTCCAAAATTTTTATATAATAATTTTTTCAAACAATAGAGATTTGGATTCACATCTGATTAAAATTTCGGAAAAGTATCAAATGGATATGTTTCTGAAAATTTTCTTCACTTCTCTCATTACCTATAAGGTAAATTTAATTCCTTCGATCTCTTCTAACTTGTAAATAATGACTGACTTCTTATCGCGGGATTTTCTCTAATGAATTGTAGAAAATCGTACACGAACCTACTTTAGAGGCAAGCAAAACTCTATTATTAAGTGTAAATCATGCAGAACCTAATATAAGAAGAGTCGCTCTCAGAAAAATGATCGAAATGTTACAAAGTGAAACTCCACCTGATTGCAATTTTATTGTGCAAGATGTAGGTATATATTATATTATTCTTTTTGTTCTTAAATATCTAATTAGAATTTTTATTATCGCTAGGTTCTTCCACCAGAAACTTTAGTTTCGGAAAAAGCCGATAACATTTCATCGCCTGATACTGAAATGTTCACTCACGAACCTACATTAGAGGCAAGCACAACTCCATTAGTGAGTGTAAATCATGAAGAACCTGATATAAGAAGAGTCGCTATCAGAAAAATGATTGAAATGGTACAAAGTGAAATTCCACCTGATTGCAATTTTATTGTGCAAGATGTAGGTATATATATTATTATTTTTTTTTATTTATAAATCTCTAATAAGAATTTTCATTATCGCTAGGGTCTTCCACCAGAAACTTTAATTTCGGAAAAAGTCGCTAACATTTCATCGCTTGATACTGAAATATTCACTCTAATGAATCTCCTGTCTTCACTCAAAAAGATAGCAGGACATAAAATAAATTGGCTAAAGAAAAAAGAAGAGGTATATAAATATATAAAAATTAAAATTATCATTGCCATTAATATTAATCTTATCAATATAATTCTGCGCCAGGAGAATGAATCGGCTAAACTTTATCGTACTATTCTTGTGGATCTTTTTAATGTTATCATTACTGGACCGGATATTAATTGCACTGATATTATAATAAAGCAATTTTTCGTCACGCATTTTTCTGATGATGTACTACAATTTTGTTGCAGTATTTTAGTGACAGATGATTGTAAGTTTCATTTTTTTAGTTTTAAAGAGAAATTTATCAAATTTCCTGAAATGATCTTAATATCTTACATTTTCTACAAATGCTTAAGCTTCGGATATACTTAAAATACGCAGTCTTCAGGTCGCCAATGCGTATATCCGTGCCTATGCACGCCCCGAGGCTTCACACCAAATTGATTTTCAATTAATAATACCAACATTGATGTCAGCACCTATTAACGCCAATTATTCGATTCGGAAAGCTGTCCTATCATGTCTAGAATCAATTTGTTCCATTTACGAGGTTCTTTGGCAAGTCGATGCAAAGCAGCAAGATGTTTTCTCGTCCCTCTTAGATTTAATTACGAGCGCCAATTCTTATGTATATTTCATTCTTCATTTACAATTAAAGTTTGTGCATTTTAAGCAAATAAATATTAATAATAATTGTATATTACGAATAGGATGTTGCAAATAAATGCAAAGGTTTTCTAATGCGCGTCTCTATTCCCGCGAGAGTTGTTCAAAAGGAATTATCGAACATTAATCAAAAGCTTGAAGTTATTCAAAATGAAGCTGAACTAGCTAATGCCTCCTCGAAAAAGCACACTCAAGATCAACTCGAGGAACCCAACGCAAAGCGTGCACGTCATGAATATCAGTACGTTTACTGAATGAGCAAATCTTTAAATATAATTTTTTATTTATTATTTTTGTTTGTCTGTAGGCAAAATGAATCACCTGATCGAGTTTTAGCCGAATCAGCTCAAGAAGAGACAAGCAAAAAAGAAATAGCACCACAAACATCCAAACACATTCCGCCGTTACATCGATTGACAACTCTCTTAGAGCTGCTTCAATGCAAGCCCAAGCCTAATATCGATGAAATCTCATTGATTGCCAGTTTCTTTGAATTGCTGAAAACACTTTCCAAATATAAATCAAATGATCGGGATTATGTTGTCCAATTGATCCTCGAAAGATTAACCGAAATAGTTAAAATATCTGTAAGTAATCTTTTGTGTTTCAATTATTTTTTTTTCAGCACACACTGTCCACTAAATTTATGTTAACGATAATATAGACACAGAAAACAAACATGCAGCTATATTATCAAATAAATCTTAATATAGTTGGCGACTATCTTTTAAGTACATTGATTAAAACTTTCTTCCCTAATTAACTTATATATATCGAGCTTCTGTTTGCTAAGCATGCTAATACGTTTTTATTCAATTCTTAGAATCTCGAAACTCTCAGATCCAGAATCAATGCCTCTTGCTTATGAGTGCTGTAGCCGTTACACAGCCTACATACGTATTAAACAAAATCATGCCGTTATTTAGCACGTTTTTGGAAGAAATTGGGTTTCAACGGGACAACGAGTATTCTAATCAAATAGTTCGTCATGTATGTATAAAAGCGACTATTTGGATAATTATTAGATTCATTAAAATATATTCATATTATTGATTATTTATCTAGGCGATGGAATTAGTATTACCGGTTGTTATCGAACAAAAAGAAAAACAATCACCCCAAAAAAAAGAAAATTCTAGTCGCGCCTTTAGTAAGTCCTTTAAGCGCACATTATGATTTTCCAATACGAAACCCGAAAGATGACAATAATTTTAATCTATTTTGAATAATTTGTGTATAGGAGCGAAAGAAATCCTGGTAATATTTATACACGCTATCGATCATATGCCAAAAACGAGGATAGTTCCGTACGTATAAATAACCTTTCTAAATGACTTGCCGTCTGTTAGAAAAATAGGAATTTAATCTTTTTGAATATATTAGTTTTCTTACTACGTTTATCCAAACGCTCGGCGAAAATGAATTCTTACATGCAATCACTGGACTGTTACTATCCTATGCATGTACCCCGCAGCGTGAAAAACCTAAAATTCTGGAAATTGGTTATATAAGTGAATTGTGTCTTACACTTATGGAGCAATTCTCACCAGAAGCTCAAATACGTTCTGCTGTTCGTTTATTTGAAGAGTTGTTATTATTGCCAAATAATATAAGACATCGGTATAAAAAATTAACGAAGACTCATGGAACGCCGGTTGATGACTACTTGTTTCAAATTTAGTGAGTACGATGAATCGAATGTTATTTATATTTTAACAACTAGAATTCAACTAATGTATGCGATTTCTTTAGTGGTCAAACCGATGCAGAGATTCTCCATCTAAAAAATGTTTCCATAAAATTGTTCAAGAGTCTTTTTACCCACGATGAATTTCTGAGAGGACTTCTTCGGTGGGAGAATGAAGAAAAGAACTATGAAACTCGAATTCAGGGTTTATGTTTGAATTTGACGGAAGTAATTTTGAAGCTTTCCTTAAGTTTGGAAGCGTATCAAAGTTCACGGCCTGTTGTTGTTGAAATTGTCAAAGGTAAATCTTTAAATGGTGTTACGATTTCTTTTCTTTCTAATAACTAACATTCTTTTCTAGAAATTCCTACGTCGATCTCGGATGTTTTGTTCGCTATTCATGGATTTGTATCAAATACATCATTTGTCTCTATCATTAGAGCGTTACTTAATCATACTAATTTAAAAGTGAGTAATGAGTTTCTCGAATTGCTTCTACATAAAAACTTTATTTAATAACTGATTAATTTTCAACCAAATAAAAAGATTCGTTCAAAAACAATTACGCTATTACATAAACGTCTCATTAATTATGAATCCAACAACAATTCAAATGATGAGCAACCGACACATATGATTGAAATTTTATCAGATCTCAATTCGTTGATTTCTACAAACGACGAGAACACAAGCGTAGAAAACCTTATTTGTAAACAAAATGCCCTGAATTGCTTGTCTAGTTTCGTGCGTCGTTTTATTAACGGAAACGAAGAATTGTTTACACAATGCATAACTCCTGTTATAAGTGAAGCTGTCTTTCAGCATCAAAACGTTAACTTACGAATTAGTAGTATTGCTTGTTTGGCGCAGATTTGGTATATATCGTAATTATTTTGTTTATAACCACTTTAATTAATTGACTGATCATGAATTTATTCAAAGTCACGAAATTGGGCTCAGAATTATACCCTTTTTACCTCGATTCATGCCACAGCTGTTGGAACAATTGCAATCCTCTTTAAAAGGTAAAAATTACGTCTCTTTTCTGATTTCTTTTCCATGATCCATCGTTAAAATTAAATTTTTTTCGTTATCAGAACAAGAATCGGAAAACCACCGGCTACTCATGGCAATACTCGCTACCTTCGAAGCTATTTTCACCAATGTTCCGTCCTTCATCGCGCCATATTTATATCAATTACTCGAATGTTTTCTCCATCCAGTCATGTATCAAAATCAACACGATAAGGAGCATATTGTTGAAATTTATGAGAAGATATTTATTAGTATTGCCACAAATATCGAACCACGAGTATTACTCCCGCAAATCTCTGATATTTACCAAAAAGCTGTGGAACTTGGCTCAGGAGTGAGTTTAATAATTAACTGTATGTTATGTTAAAAGTAACAATTTCAGAAAAATTAATTCTTAATTTTTATGGTTTAGAGCATAATATTACTACTAAAACTTCTTGAAGGAGTGGTTATGTCAGTAAAAGCCGAGGTTCTTCTAGATTACAGAATTGATATTTTCAAATTCTTGCTGCTTCCTTTCGATTACCGGCGCATGCATAAAAATCAGGCTTTGGAGGTATGTATTTGAAAATGTATACTTACTGTGTAGGTCAATATTTGAAATAGTTCTTTGTTGCTATTTCTTATTTAATTGATTTTTTTCTTCCAGGATATCATAAAAGTCGAAGACCAAACTATTTCTGTCTTTAATAATTTCCTCTTGAAATTAAACGAGGATTTGTTTAAACCGTTATTTTTATGGATGATTGATTGGGCTACAACAGATTCTTTATTGGGAACAGGTGAGTGCAATTTATCGAGAAGATTATTTTGACCAATTTTCATTAACCTAAAGAATTTGATATTAAAGATATCGATTATCGACTTACTTTTCTATTCCGACTAATTCATCACCTATTAAACGAGATGAAAGTGAGTAATAATAAAAGTCGAACGGTTTAAGGTGTTATATTACGTAAATCGCTAATTATTTTCTTAATATAGGGTATATTCTCGCCGTATTATCGATCTGTGATGGATATCTGTATCTCTAAGTTACAGGATTATAAAGAAGGTCGAAGACAATTCGATGATTTATGGAATCACATTGTTGATTCTTTACAAAAATATTTCATGCATGAAGAGAATGGTAAAATTTCAGCCCACGTAAATTTTTCTGCATAAAGAACTCTAACTTATAACCTTTTCAAATATTTTTTTAGTTTTTGAAACCAACGAACAGTTCAAAAAACTTATGATTCCACTTGTAGATCAATTACTCGTCCCTGTTGATCAAGAACAATACGAAGACAGAATCATCCAACATCTAATGCCTTGTCTCGTCCAACTAGCAAATAACCTCGATGATCTCGACAAACTGGATTTACTCAGCAAACAAGTTCTTTTACATATGCAACTTCAAACAGCCTCGGTGCAAGTGCGTCTTGGTGCATTACGCGTGATGCGTGAATTTTACGAGAAATTGGGCGAGGCTTTCTCGAATTTCATCCCAGAGGCGGTGCCGTATTTGGTTGAGTTGATGGAAGATGATGACCAACGAGTGGAAGCATCTAATGCAGAGTTGATTCGTATTATTGAGAAACTTGCGGGGCAGTCGTTTGATGATTATCTTAAATAGAATGTATTAATTGTCTTTTTATATTAGTGTAATGTCAATCAGTCTAGTTAGAAGTTAATTTTTATTCGGTTATTTGCTCGTTCTTACAATCATGAAATTATCTTAGCGTTAAAAAAACATAATCCTTTGTTAATCCGAATCTGGCATATAAAAATTATAACGCTGCATAATGATATATCTGTATAAAAAAGGAACATCAGATCAAATTTCATTCTTAATAATAATGTGTCGATATCTATCGAATTTGCGACCATTCGTGACAAAATATTCATCAACTTTCATAATCACTATATACAGCCACCAACACCACACAATCAACCACAAAAGACGAAAATATTTTAGATTTTATCATGACAATAGTAGTATGGTTTTTGCTTTTTTTT